AGTAAGCTATGTAGAGGTTAACAATTCTGTGTTGTGCTTATATTTGGATTAAAACAAAAAAAAGAACAGAGACTCCCAATTTTGTTTGTCGCAAAGAATAATAAGGAGTCTCCATCTTCATGATGATCAAGAACACACAACACACCAGCACAGATCCGAGAAGCAATGAATTTAGGAGCAAACAAAGAGACAGTGAGTTTAGGAGCAATCAATCCTTATAGCAATCAAGGCATAATCAAAGAGGTAACTGAATGAGAAAGCTTGATCAATTGTTGATTACAAGAAACTGATCCCTGAAACCCTAATCTCGTATCTTCCACAATCGAAAGTCGAGAGAAATAAAAACTTACAAGAAACCCTAAACCCTAATTAGAGAATAAGGTGAAAAAGAAGAAGAGGACGTATAAATCAGTTGATATCGGAATCATCGAAATCATCTTGGAAGCGATTGAAGAAATCGGAGTCTACGGGCTTCCTCCCGGAAGAAGAGAAAAATCCTCCTCCATGGCCAAACGTATCAACGGAGTCCAAGTCATCATCATCGACGTCCATAGGCATAGCCATGGAGGATCCTTCGAAATCCATCTCTGCTAAAAAGTCACGGTGCGTCGGCCTCACGAGCTCTCGTCTCCAATCTCTTCTATCCATCGCTTCCCTCTGCTGTGAAAATCAAGACAAGAGATGTAGATATTGGTTTTACTTATAGAGAAAGCTAGGGCTACTTAACTTCCGGCTCATTAAAGGCCCATTAGTCTATGTCCCGTGATTATAGCAAAATTACATAAACATGAATGTAAATTGTTTTGTTATAAATGGAAACGTGTGGACCTTAAGATTTTTTTTGTAAACAATATTTACTAATTTGATTGATATATTTTATACTTTTATCCTACGAAATATTATAAGGGATTTTGGTAATACTGGATTTGACTCGCATAGTAGTACTAGTTATTATTTAATTATTTTTTAACCAAAAATCCCAAATATACTTAACTCATAACTTTGATTTTGTAAGATTTTGATTTAAATTCCATCCCATCATTGGTTTTATATATTTTACTATATTTTTTTTTCTAAAGAGTTTTGTAACTTAAAAAAAAAAATCATAATTAAATTATGATAAAATCTTTTATTTTAAATATGTTTAACCATTGTTTAGATTTATTAATATATTAAAAATTTGTAAAATTATTGTACTATAAATCAAATTAAAATCTCTTCTTATTCGGTTTTAAATAAACGTATTTGATGTGATTCATATTAGATAAATTTTATTTATAAAAAAGTCACTAGTGTATTACCCGTGCCTTGCGCGGGATTTTATTTTTAGATAATGATCTTTAAAAAGAATAAAAGATAATGTTCATCTGAAAATTATCTTATTAAAACTATATGTGAAAGAAACAATCATATTCAAAACCCAATATTAATAGAAGATAGAAAACCAAAGTAAAAAATCTTATARAAACTACATRTCAAADAAACTAAGAATATTCCAAACCATGACATYTTAAGATACGGCGAGRCAAKCGCGGGATAGTATTCAAGTGACATATCAATTCAATTATTCAAATGACAGAAGTTCACTGCTTAACATATTGTTAATCGAATTTAAAACTATATATTTGTTAGGG